TACAAAGCAAATATTTGTTGAAGTAATGGATTGTCAGTTACTAAAAGAACAGTGGGAAAGACTTTAATAGAGTTTACTAATTTTTTTTTGAAGTCTGAAAAGGGGAAAAATATATTTAACTGTAAAGTCTTGCCAGAAAATGACAACATAGTATAAAACTGACAGCACAACATATAAAAGAAAATGTCATGGTATAGTCTTGGAGAGGGGAACAAATCTTGCTCCTGACATATAAACATAATTTTTACTTCTGTTACTGAAGCAGATATAGTTGATTTTGTTAAAAAGAAAAATCTGTCACATTCATTGCCAAAAATATATTTTAAAGCAATAAAATAAAATAAAATAATGCAACAAAATGAATACTGGGTAGTGTTACTTTGTGAATTGCTTATACATGTCATTTCTTATGGTGGGCAGGAGGAGGACTAAGTTATAAATCATAGCAAGTGTACTCTAGAAAGTTTCTGAGCAATTTTCTGAATCCAGAGTCAAATTCTCTGTAAAGGGAAACACTGCAGACGTTGTGACAATGTCTGAAGTAAATAAGTCTTGTCTAGATACTAAAGACACTGGAAATATGGCTTTAGACTACTGACTTGGTAGGCTAGTATTTTGTTTTATTAAGAAATATTGGGTAAATCAGTGTAGAAATAAATGTGGCATCTTTCTAAGATTATGGAGTTATAATGTACTTTTACGTGCTAGTCTCTTTCTAAAACCAAACAATTCTTCAGTACAGCCAGGTAGATATATGACTTTGTTTGTTACTTTCCCTGAGATTGTAAGAATGGACACACATGAATTTTTCTCCACTAAACCATATTTAACAGTCATCTGAAATAGTACCTTTTTCAGTTTTCCTCCTTGGTGACCTTTTAACTTTTTTCACTGGCTTCTTTGTGAATTTATCGTTGGCGGTGACAAATTATAGAATTTGTAATTTGCATTTTAGGAATTTAATCCCCAAACTGTTAAACTTCTAGTTGGCCATTTTGGTTTGGTACAACTTCTTCTCAATCAGAAGAACTCAATATTCACTTTGTATTTTGTCTTTATTTTGCAACTACGGTGCATAGATGCTTAGGGGTTTTGGAATGGTGTAACACAAAATACAAAATATTGTTGTATATTTGAATAAAAATTGTAAACTATATTGGAAAGGCTTAAAACATGAAATAAACATATCAAAGAGCACTTTCAATTTGCCAGTTTAACATACAGATTCAAAAGGACAGCTTTGCCCCTTGATAATTTGTATCACAATTTTAAAACTTGAAACATGAAACAGGGTTTAAACAAGGTTTAAATTTTAAGGGCAGTTCTTTCATACAAGCTGAGCACTTTGTTCTATATGGTCTAAATTCCAGCAATAAGATAAATAAATTGCTATACTGGATAGAACATAATTATTGAATTTTGGCAGAACTTCAGTGAATTCTGCCATGAAAGATTAATGTGCCCAGCGCACTCTTAGATTCCAAAGTAACAGAGTTAGATAAGGGAAGTACAGAACAGACTCCAATCATTGTGGTTTATAGAAAATAGAAAATGACATGCAAGTGTTACTTTTGTTATAAACTGCTAACGATAATATTGTTATCTTGATGATGAAAACTGTAATGAAGATCTAGAAATTCTGTTTTAACATGAATTTCTCATTTCTTTTTGATCTTCCTTAGTGTTATATAAGAGTAGCAGGTTATTATTATAAAAGGGAAAGACAAGTGTGCATACTGCTTAGGACTAATGAAATCACTTTCTATCAGCATGTTGTATGTGCCTTTTCATTATAATTATGTTTTTACTCTTGATGGTTCTTGATATTACTTCCTTCTCTGTTCCTTTTCCAGCACACCCTTAATACTTTAGAAAAGTTTGTTTTGATTGAAAAAACGTAATTATCATATTCTGGTCATTCTTTTTAAAATAATTACTCTATCCAAATAATGTTTTTTTTAATTGAGAACAATGATTTATTGTCCTGCTTCTCACACTTCCTAGTCAGGACTGATAGAATTACAGAGCCTTTTAAATATCTGCAGCCACTCTTATGCAGAGCAAGAGAACAACTCTGCAGTGGCTGTAATTTACTGACATAATCCAGCAGAACCTGGCTCTGCGAGAAATTCCTATGCATGTTTTGCATCCTGCACATTACAGCCTCCCAGATACTCAGTACTGAGTTGTAGGTGGGCTTTCTGTCCATGAAATGATGCTCCTCTCTCCCTGTATGTGATGTACCAATTACCAAACGCTGGCCCCAATCCTGGAACTGATTTCTTATTTGCTCCTTTTCCAGCAAGTAAGTGGACAATCTCCCCATGCAATGGCAAGAATGGCCACCATAGGACTAAGTGTTTAAAGGTATATTGCCCTTATCAATCCACAAATACAACAATAGGTGTATTCTGTCCCCTGTCTACTGTACCACCAGGCCATTACTTGCCATATTTTCATATCTACATTTTAAAATGGCAGTTGCTTATAGAAATATGGGATTGGAAAGGGTCTTTCTGGGTCATTTGCCATAGCCCTGCTCATACTGTCTCATAAATTCCATTGTTTCCTTCCCTATGACAACCCTTGCCAATATTCTGTTGCAATAGCTGTGTGATAGTGATAGATGAAGAAATGTGAGATCTTTACTGGATTTTGGATCAGGTGCATGGTGAGCAAGATACTATTTTTTCTTTTTTTGCCTGTTTGCCTATTTGTCATATAGCTTCATTCTGTCATTCACTTGCTTAATAGAATTTGCACCTACATGTGTTTAGAAGCTGAAAGTTGATTTTTGGAGATTTTATTTTATTTTTGATTGTACCAATGTTACTTAAGTATTGCCACCTTCATTTTGTAAGGGGAATTTGCATCCCCTCCAAAAAAAAAAAAGGTAATCTTGTGGCCTTGCCTTATTTACTGTCACCCTTTTCAGATTGCTTATTTTCTTGTACAAGCTGGTTAAGTATGTGCTACCACATACACACTTAAAAACTGCATTAGATAAAATATTACAAGGGTGGATCATATTTAACTTATTTCTAAATCTATTATTTGTATTAAAAACACCCATAAAGTTTAATTCAATCCATAAGAAGTAGATTGTAAAGTGGACATAAACTTATTTGGCAATGCAATTGAGTTCTCAGTCTTTGACTTTTTAATGTATCTCATTTCAAACAAGATTAATTTCAAGTGTGCCTATATTTCCAAGTCGGCAGTACTCCTTTTACTTTTTAGTCTGAGTGATTCACAGAAAGGAACATACTTTTAACAGTCTAAAATAGTTACCACAGATTAGGAGCAGAGTATGACATTAAGAGTATGACACCTCCATTGCTTAGATAGCAACCCTGTTCATAATCTGAAATTTGATTGCACTTTTACAACAAAGATGTATTTGGCCTATTTATGTTTTAATTCCTTTAAGGTATTAAGAATATTTTTTGTAATGGGACAATCTCTATGGCCTAATGTACACCATGTAGTGCCTGGGTACATTTTGAAAGAGGTGTCAGATGCATTGGTGTGATGCTGGAAACAAAAAGAAAGAAAGATGGAATAATAGACAGCTTATTAACTCTTCTCAATTGATAATGGAGATCTTTACATGCAAGGGAACTAATGCTATTATATAATGGGGGCCAGTTAAAATAGGGTAGTACAAGTTTCTTGGTGCTACTACATTCAGACATGGAGGATTCCTGGTAGTAAGAGGGCAGGAACAAGGCCAATAAATTTGTGATTATGTGAATTCATACTGGCTGTGTTAGAATCCAGATATTGGCTCAACTGTTCTGTTTTGAAGGAGGGGAGGGGAGGGGAGGGTTCCTTCAATCCCTATCTTAAGTGTCTTGGTACCACGCAGTGAAGTTGTGGAGTGTGCTGGAAAGGGATTTGGTCCCAAGAAAGATTTTCTAAGGCTTCATTATTTTACTGTGAAATTTAGATCCTGAAATTAAGAGGGTGAAAACAAGGCAGCTGAATATGGGAATTTGTAGGCTTATATTGTTAAATCTTGTCTTTCAAATGTATTAACTGATGAACTGGTGAAATTATGCTGATGTTTTGCTCACATTCTTAGTTGTATATGTTATGAAAATAAATGTAGAACTACAAAAGAGTGGGTAAAAGTATACAGTTATACATTATTAGGTTATACCAGTTGGGGCGCCTATTTATGATCGGTGAGGCTGCTCGGATGCACTGTAATTACAGCAGGTCGGAGCAGGCTCATGGGAGTGCTTTAACTAAAGCTTGTTTGACAAGCTTTAGTTAAAGCACCCCCACCATCATTTTTCAGTGTGAGGATGCTGATATACGAGACGCTTTGGGTACTTTGGGGCTCCAAGAGCCGTTTTAATTACTCCCCAACACCCCCCTCCCCCCCCTCCTGGATCATATGTATAAATGCCTTTACTGTTCACTTCTGACTGATGTGTCTTTGGGGATTCAGGGATTCCTATAGAATACATTACAATTAGTCACTCTTCCCAGGCTCTCAAGGTACATATAGAATTTGCACATTAATGTTACATGAATCTAAAATTCTGCAGGACTGTTATAGAAATTGGAAAAATAATGGACTAACGTGGAATTTTGTCTTTTACTAAATACAAAAGCACATAAATTGCTTTTCTTCCTTTAAGCCAAAAAGATCCTGCATCATCATTAGCTCAAGATGTTTGTAGTCTATGAAAATATTTCTGACAGGATTGAAGTATTGTTGTGCTGACAGATCAGAGTTGTAATTGCCCTTTGTAATAAAAGAGTGTGACTAAAGATGCAGGACAAAGTATTTGATTATAACTAATTCACTAATCTTACTAGGAAGAAAAAAAACCTGAAATACCATCCCTTTATTACCAGTCTGCCCTAACTAAGGGGGGGCGGGGGGAAACCTAACCGTGCATCTCATTTGAGGAGATGTGCTAGTTTTATGGATATCACTTCCCTGATTAATAAGTGTAGCTGTTAACATATATTCTTATGACTTTCAGAACAAGACAAGACAACTTTAGGAACATACTTCTTGTGATATGCTCAGTGGTAAGTACCATAACTGCAATCAAGTTTATTGCATTTTTTATAGAGCAAAGGCCTTTTCAAGACCACACTTGCTGCAGCTTAATCATACAACAGCATCAGATGTAGTTCTGGAATAATAGGCTAGTAATGTGATATACTTCATAATGAAAATCAGTGTAAAGCACAGGTGGTTGCTAGCATTTGTGTGGTCAGATATAAAAGCTTCACTCTGGGTACAAGCTACTGCTTCCCCACTTCAGGAAAGTACAATTAAAAGTGGTTTCCAGATGTGCTGGCATGCATATATATCCCTGTCAAATGTGAATTTTTCAAATCTTAAGCTAAACTGTATCCAGCACAGTTAAAGCTAATGGTTTATATAATAATAATATTAATAATAGTAGAATTGGAAGCATTAACACTGCATTAATAAAATAAGATATTTTAAAATAATATAAAGTAGCATGTTATAGTTTCAGTAGGTTCCTTTTGGTGTCTATGAGAAATGATCTGGAATTGGTCTGCTAACTGTAAACTAAAACATTTTGTAGAAACAAATAACATTATACCATCAAAGCACAAGAAGAAAGATTGAGTTTAGTGAGACTTCTCCCGGTTCTGTTTTTTTGTATTTAACACCAACGATGTGTTGATCTCAATGTAATACTGATAGTCCTTGCCCTTGAAAGTCCAAATGCCTCAAAGCCACAAGTTGCTTCTGCCTTTTTATAATTAACATTTTTATTGTTAGCCTTGCAAATACAAAATGTCAGACAATACCCAGATGAATGACGAATGCTAATTAGCTGCTCTTTAACGTATCTTAGGGTACAAATAAGAGGAAAATTCTATCAGGGCATTCAAAATGCACCCATCAATAAGCTGTCACACAGGTGTAGTTTAGTTCAAAATTGAAAAGCATTAGTATTCTTCAAAATAATGTCAGAAAGAGGATGCAGTTCTCTCAGTAAGCCAACTATATACATTTTGGATGATATTCTGGTCCCATCTAACTTGATTTGAATTAGCATTTCAGCCTTGAATTCTTGTAATTCTCCCTCCTCCTCCCCCCTTTATTTCTGTGGAGAAAATATTCTTTATTACAGTAATATTAGCCACCACCATTTTGACCCAAGTATCAAAAAGGCATACTGAGACTTTTTTTCTTTTCTTACTGATACTTCTCCTAATCTCTGTCACAGCCACAGAGCTCTGTGCCCCTAAAGATGAAGGTTGGGACTTGTGAAGATATTCAAACCATTGAACTAGGTAACAGGAGAGCTTTTGCAGATATCAGGCCCAACATTCCTTGACTTTAGAATACCATCCTATTAAATTTATTCAGCTCTTTCTTCAAATATGAGACCTCTTGCATTTCCTGTCAGGTGAAAGGATGATTTCTTAAAATCCTTGTTTTAGAGGACTCTCAAAAGAAAGAAATTAGTCTTTCCTGAACTTTTGACCATACCTTTTCTTCTTTAGACATACGCACATGTAAGTAATTATTCCATTTAACTTGAATTTCTGTGATCAGTGGGCAAATTGATTAGGGGACAATTAGTTCCTTATTCATGTGTCTTTACAGTAAAGTACTATTATGATGCCTCACCATTAGAACTTGGCCCAGGGACAAGTTCCTGCCAGGGAAACATCATACCAGCTTGACTTTTCTAAGACTAATATGCAGATTTTAGTTAATTCTGTTTTGCAGTATTATGCTGATTCTCTGTCTGACTGATTCATATTGTCTGTCGGACAAATTAAAAGGAAGTCAGAGACAAATTTAGAGGTGGACTCAGACTGCAAATCTGCTAGTGACTTACAGGTGGCATAGGAATCTATGTAAGATTGTCTTTGTCTGAACCATTTGATTTTTCTAGGGATTTGTTTTGTTTTTTCTTTGTACAGAGCCTAGCATTTGGGATCCAGGTCAAATTAATGGTTTTCTGGCCGGTGGGAGGGGTCACAGGTGCTGTCACAAAAATGTTTAATAATGATACAGGCAGTAACCAGTTATCTAATCAAAAAAGATTCTACTATTTCTCTGAAAGCTTCCCATCCTTGCTAGCAGACCTGTGTTCTATGACCAAACATGCCACAGTATTTTCTAGAAAGTGAAATGTGAACAGTTTCTTTTCTTTGCTGGCAAAATGCTGTGCCAAAGTAAGCAATATGTGCAAAAATAGAAACCCTTTAGTATGAAAGGACACAAGGTGGGCACTGCCATGACGCTTCATTTTTGGGCTGCATCCTCTTTTTATATGTGACATCACCAGATGCTAGCCCTCCTTTATGTCCCACATAGTCATCAGTTCTGCATATCAATCTATGCTTTGGGGCATTTTCTACAAATAGGTTACATTTACTAATGGCTGCAATGAATAAAGCAAGAAAATTCACCTCGCAAATAAACTGGGTTTTAAAATATTGTTTTACCTCCTTTTTAAATTCTTATCATTGAAAAGAAAAGTAGAAGGGCTGAATAGAGTAAGGATGTAGAGAAGAAATTGCTATGGGTCATACATTAAAGTATCTTTTCCAAGGGGCTGAAGGAAGGTTGCACATTTTGAAAGTAAAGATGCTGCTTTGATCAGTGGATGGAGAATACAGCCCAACAGGGATAAATCTTTCTTCAAGCACAATAAGTCCATCTAATGATACTTAGAACAGTTTAGGCAGAACTCCCCTGGAGCGAATTTGTCTGCCAAATGCTGATTACAGTTTTGAGAGAGGCTGGTAAGTTGATGACTTCAGACTAGGGTGAATAGAGGACATATAAACTGTTATGTACATATGATATTGTTGCTGAATGCTATCTATTGCCAGTTTTGCAACTACACCCTTTTCCCACAGATCCCATTTGTAGTTGCTTTGTATTACAATTAGAGTTTGAAGAGCAGTGTAGTTTAGGGACCAAAGTACAATTAATTACAATGAACTTGGAGAAACATTGCCTTTAGATAGAATTCAACCTATATTTTATGTATCTACTTTTCCTCCTTCCCCCAATTTGTTGCTTTTGATGTTTTATTGAGAAACAAGATCATCATCTTCTAGGATTTCCTCTGTTGCAGATGTTTATTCTTCACCTGAAGCTATAATCCTTTGTTTGTGACTTCACAATTAGTTGCTGGGGAGATGTCTATGATCTTGAAAACAGAGGATTAAGGTTTTGGGTGAGGAAGAGGCCACAGAAACAGAATGACTCTTACTAACTAAAGACTCTGTTTTCATACAAGTATTCCTAGAAAAAAAGTTAGAGAAAAGGTTAAAATACATATGAACTGTTTCTAAACAAAATCTCCGTCACAATTTTCCATGAAAGTTCAGTAGAGCATCTAGTGTGTTGAGAAGTAAATCTTACCATGGTTTGTTTCATGCTTGCAGATTTGTTTTTTGTATGAGTTGCTGTAAGTGAGAGTAAAAGTTATTCAGTAACCTGGAGGGTGGTTGGAAATGGTATGTTTTCCTATCAGGAATGTTTCTTGTACTAAATTGAGACAAAAATCCAATTCTAGAAAATGTCCATTAAAAAATCTGTAAAAGTATTGAATCAGGTCATCCGAAACATAGTGTTTAATTTTGACATTATTTGTTTTGATTTTCTTTCTTTCTTAACATTCTTTACTATAAATTAACTTGTACTTGGGGGAAAGAAAAGTTATCTTGCCTTAGACAACATTGAACTTCCTTCATTTTGAAAAAAAAATGAAATGGAATGCTTCCACAGTTTCAAAACTTTTATTCCTCCAAAATCAATTGGAAAAAGAAAATTTGTCAAACTTGACCCCCTTTGGAAACGCTTTTTATTTCAGTAAATCAAACTTTTCTAATAAACATTTTCTGAAAGATATACAAAAAATTCCAGCATAATTATGTGATGGGTGTGTTACATATCTGGCCCTACTCTAATGCTTTGTGTTCCCAGTGCACTCTGAAAATACTTTTGAATTAAGGATAGTAGTGTCCGTTTGAGGTGACATGTATTCTTGTCCCCATTTTAGGGAGAAGGGACTGGAGGGAGAGGGTTCAACTCAGGAGCCCATAATTACATTGACTAGCATTTACTTATGCCAGTATTTCCTTTTAATTGAGCCATTAAAATTTAGTAGCTCCCTGTTTAATAGCTTTTGCAATGCAAACTTTTCTATTCCAGGCCATGGCTTTGCTATAAACTGAACACATGAGGTAGCACACTGTTGTTTGGTCATAATCTCCCTCCCGGTTCCTCTGCTGGTCTAGGGAAAGAGTAAGTTGTATTGGGCCTATAGCTAGAATAGTCCATGTTCTCAAACATCTTGACCCATGTGGGCTAGTCCAAGGTGGTTGGGAGACCAGATTGAAGACTCCAGCCTTCTTCCATGTCCATCTCCATGAGGGAGTAAGGAATGTAATGGCTCTGGAGAGCTGCTTCCTTTCACTTGCAATCCTGGATTCAGGTAGATAGTGCGGAAATCTCAGAACAGTGCTTTTTCTTCCTTCAGAACACCCTAAAGGAAGCGTCTCAACTCTGTTCAAAGAAGGTTTGAAGAAATTAATACTAAATTAGCTCACAATTGATAATGAAATGTGAGAAAAGTGATGCTTTAAGTTGCATTGCTGGCAGTCATATTTAGTTATTGTATACTCCATGTCTGCACATATCTTGCATATGTACTGGTAAAGCTGAAGGCTGGCACACCTGCTCCTAACCATGCTGCTATTGCCATCACTGTCATTGCAACTGCTATGCACTTCTTCACACCTAAGGCACCTATACATGTGCTGGACGTCTACTTTGACATGTGCTAATTAGTCAAGTCTGCTGGGGTGCGCTAATTAGTATTCCAGCAGCCTCTGTATCATATGTATTTAGCATCCTCAAAATGGTGGTGGGGGTGCTTTCACTAAAGGTCATGAAATGAGCTTCAGTTAAACCCCCCCCGCCACCATTTTGAAGTGTAGGGTGCTGAAGACGCACACCATTGCGAGTGCTTGAATTAGTGCGGCACTTGGAGCCGCTCTAATGGAACATGTGTAAA